ATATATTGCAATATGTGTTCACTAGCAATTAGGGAAATGCAAATCAAAACCACAATGAAATACCACCTCCCACCTGTTAGAAGTAAATATTTATTGTCATCATACTTATACCCTGCCACCCTGCCCGTGGGGACAGAAATCCAAAAGAAATGGATAATGTACAGCCCAAAGGTGAGAATTGCTAAATGAATGTTTAACCCATTGAAAAACAAGGATTTTTGAGGAGAGAATGCATTAGCACTCATAAATGATTACTGTGTAACAAATCACCTAGGCAGCCACTGGCTTAACAGTCAGCATTTATTATTGCTCATGAGTGTATGGATCAGCTGGGTGGTTCTTCTGGCTTTGTCTATGTTCGCTGTGTGTCTGCAATCAGCTATGGATTGTTGGTTAGGGAGCGCTACTGATCTTGGGTGGGCTGTCCCACCTAGTGGGTGTTGGTTGGCTGTAGGCTACTGTGGAATGGCCTCATTTGGGATAAGTAAGCTCTCCTCCACATGCTCTCTCATTCTGTAGTGGCTTTCCTGGGCTTGCTCACACATGGCAACGATAGGATTCCAAGAGAGAACAAAAGTTCACGAGGTCTTGCCGCTCACCGTTGGCACACCATCACTTCCACTTCATCCCATTGCCAAGTCACATTACAGTGTTAGCTGAGACTCAAGGGGTGAGAAACCAGATTTTACATCTTGGCGGGAGAAGCATCAAATCCAGACTCCACAAGGCCTGGGCACAGATAGGGGCAGAGAATTGATCCAGCAATGCAATTAATCTGTAACCACAGAGAGACACGATTAGCAATAAAGAGGCATGGTTTGTTTTGGTTTGTTTTGGTTTGGTTTAGCAACCCAGAGAATAGAAAGGTCAGGCATACTCTAAAGATAAGGACTGGATGTTTTATGAGTGACAGCAGGTGGGGCCCACCATGCAGTACTCTCAAACTGGTGTGCCTAATAATGACCCATGTAGCTTGGTACATATCCTGGGACCTACTCTCAGAAACTGATACATTTTTTCTCAAGCGAAGCCTTGGAAACTGCATTTTCTCAGGCTCTCCAGGTGATTCTGATTCAGGTAGTATATACGAAGTCTGACAATTAAGTTCATGAACTTGTTGCAATGCTGCTGCTAACCTTTTTTTATATCAGAGGGATTATTTGTTATGACTTTGTACCAACTGGACAAGCAGTTAACCAAGTTTACTATTTGGAAGTGCTGAAAAGGCTGCGTGAAAAAAATAGACGAAAATGGCCTAAACTTTTCGCCAACAATTCATGGCCCTTGCATCATGACAATGCACCAGGTCACACGGCACTGTCTGTGAGGGAGTTTTTAGCCAGTAAACTAACCCTTTCAACACGTCCAAATAGTAAACTTGGTTAACAGTTTGTCGAGTTGGTACAAATTCATAATGAATAATCCCTCTGATATTAAAAAAGGTTAGCAACATCATTGCAACAAGTTCGCGAACTTACTTGTCAGTCCTTGTATGTATCATGGTTCACAAGAAGACCACTGTTATGACTGTAAGCGTGACTATTATTATAATCAACCTAGGTCCTTATGAACAGAATATAATAATTCAATGCATTTCTGAGTCCTCGCAGGATTTTAGAAACTGAATGTGCCAGCACCCAGACTGAGAAATGTTGAGTCACTTGCAGGGCTGTTGTGTCTGTGCTTTCCTCTGTGCGGGAATAATGGCAAGTCAACTGCTCAGCACTTTCTCCTATGCTTCTTTCTACCTTGTTTAGGTTGCAATTGGAGAGGGATTAATTTATGCTAATTCCACACAACAAGCTAAAGCCCATTTATCACAAGTTTCCATTCCTCAGCAAAACACACAAACAGAGCTAAGTGTTGGGCAAACTAAGATATGCAGCTGCCCTTGTGTGGAGCAATAATGGCCCGTTTATATTCAGCCTCAGATCAGCAAGCAAAAGTCACCCAGGGAACACAGAGGGCAGTGCTATCCAATCACTCATAGCCGCTGCCTGGTGCTTCCTGCCTGCCCACTCGCCCACCTCTGAGAAGTGAGGGAGCCTTGCAGAGATGGGGAGGAGTAGCGGATAGCACATGCTTTAGAACTTCGGATAGTGAAGCTCACTTTCCCAAAATAACATGCTAATTCCAAAACGGTGTTAATTCTGCTTGTTTACGAATGAGGATTTGAGTGGGAATGATTTATTTAGCCTTGGAAGATTTAAGCTTGTGATCAGGGGAGAAAGAAGAGGAAGAGAAGAGAAGGGAAATGGAGAGCCCGCGTGTGTTTGCTTTCTGTCTTGGAGCCTGGCTGAAGCAATTTTCTCTCTTTAGTTTTCCATTTATTTCAAATGCCAGCCCTTTCAAGCAGACTTGGTATTCTTCCTGGTTGCTCCACAACACTGATATTCTGCCTCTTCTCAAAGAGCGTTCAGCTAGGAATTCGAAGTTGAGCAAGTAAAGCTAACCTGCCTCTAACCACCCCACCCATCTGGGGCTTCTCTCTGGAGCTCCATTTTTTCCCAGACAAATTAAGGGTTTGCATTAGAAAATTACCTTCAAAATGTCTGCCTATTATTAATTGCTTAAGTGTGATAATGGTGTGATAATGTCGACAGAGAATGAACAGGAGACCTCCTTAAGAGCTACAGATGAATTTATACCATAGCTAAGATTTGCTTTGAAATAATCCAGTGGTTGGGGGCTGTGTAGACAGGGTGGAGTAGAAATAAAATAATCTTGTCCATTGATTGATGGTGGTGGAAGCCGCCTGGTAGGTACATGAGACTTCATTTCTCTACGTACTTATATACCACACATACATACACACATATACATATATATGCACATATACATGTCATCCAAGTTTAAGAGCGTATGATCTATGATTTAAAACTTAATATACGTGTTTTTTTAATTTTTAAGACTTTTTCAATTACCGTCGACAAACGAAACAATATTTTAACTTGTTTAACTTGTTAATTTGCTTCTTGTGCTATATAGTTGCTGCCTTAATCCCCGTTCTCAGAAGTATCTTTTAAAATTTCTGCTATCTTCCACTGATATTAACCCAGGGTTAAGTATATAGAAATTGTGTGTGTGTGTGTGTGTGTGTGTGTGTGTGTGTGTGNGTATATAGAAATTGTGTGTGTGTGTGTGTGTGTGTGTGTGTGTGTGTGTGTGAGAGAGAGAGAGAGAGAGAGAGAGAGAGAGAGAGAGAGAGAGAGATGACTTGAGCTCAAGTCTTAGTTCTTCCATTTACTAGTTCTAAGGCCTTTGGAACAAAATTAACCAATGAGAATCTTGCTGTTTTCCTCTCTTCAATTGGAGACCATAGCCCCTGACTTCAGTTTGTGGAAGTAAATTTCCACACTTCCTATGACAAATGGAGTGACATCCTACCAGTGACAGTGTGAGTCCCAGAGTATTTCTGGACTCCTTTGCTGATGGCACTGCGTTTGCCTAACTCCATGAAGGAGGCCTCTATTTTCTGATTTTGAGCTGAAAGCGTGTGTGCCTGGGGTGTTCCACTGAAGTGGCGCTTGTCCCATCTTCTCACAGACTCGCCTGCCCCCACGTCACAGCTGCAGTGCTGCTTGACAGGAGAGAGAATCAGAGGGGTGCTTAATTTCAGTGCTTCTTAAAAGCTGATTCGGCTAAAACAACTAAGCCTATTGGCAGGAAAGAGAGCTTGACTGTTTTTCACCAAAACATCTGGATACGTGCAATATACTTTTCCATATGTCCTGGTTACTAAGTGGCTGGCATTAATCCTACAATAACCAGGCAGAGCAGAAGTCTCCTCGAGTCTTGTCCGAGGCCATCAGTATTACAGTCACTTATTCTTGAACTTTCATACCTGGGTGGCAGGAAGTTGCCCTCTTGACTCTCAACAGAGAAAAGCCACAGAAAATGGTGCTTAAAGGTCACCCACATTTCTGAGCATCAGGCTTTGCTTAAATTGATGGAAGGTAAAGGTCAGTATTCAGGCTTGTAAGGGATGCATGTGGCTTGCCTTTTATGCTTGAGCTGTGCTGTTTTTGCCAAATGTCAGTTTTTGAGAGGGTGAACATTAATTGCAAACAAAGTTACTGAAGTTCAACAGGTTTGGCCCTGAGATGGAAGAGATTTGGAGGTGGAGAGAGATGTTGTAATCTACGGGCAAACGCCAAAAAAAAAAAGGGAGGGAGACTGTTTTATGGATGCGGAGGCATCTGTTTAGTCCAAGAGGTGAACCCAACTCATCAGAGAGGCTGGTGCTTCCTGGCACCAGCTGTCAGAGCTTTGCAGAGACAACATCTGATTGCACACCCCCCTCCAGCCCTTGTGAAACATTCACTTAGCCATCAGCGTTCTGCGTGTGAAAAACATCAACATGCTTCATTACTCTTCTGTACTTTCTCCCCCATGACAACTGCTGGGTTAGGAGTGAGAGAAAATGGACAATTCATAAAAAAATACTCCTTCGGTGGTTTTTCTGGTTGTCTGTGTCGCCTAACAGGAAAAGCTTGCATTCAGGGAATAGGAAAATGTAATAACTCTATCATTATAAACATTGATTAGGGGTAATAGTAGCAGCAATAGCAATAAAAGCTAGTATTTACAGAAGACTTACTGTGTGCCGATCACTGTTATCAGGGTTTTACGTGCATTAACTCATTCTGTCCTCACAAAAACCTGATGAGATAACGTCCTGTCCTTCTCACCTCACCACCTGAGACACACATTAAGCTGAAGTGACTTGCCCGGGATCACACAGCCAGCATGCGGTAGAGCCCCCCTTGAATCCTAACAGTCTGGCTCCCCTGTACTTCTTAGACAAGCCAGCTGGAACATCGTGGGGACTGGGACAGGCTCCGCTACCTCCACATGTCAGCTGTATCACATGCCTCTATGTGTAGGCCCCCTGTGGTTTTCTGGGACTCGCCATGCCTCTATATGAACCGTGCGCGGCTCTCATGGAGTCATACCTGTCCACATCTCTGCTCATGACCATGGCTTGCCTCCTCCCTCAGCCCCACTGGTGGACTTGACTCCCACCCACAGTGGATCCGCCATGTTGATGCTGCTGTCCGTGGTATTTGTGGGGCTGGCCGTGTTCGTCATCTACAAGTTTAAGAGGTACGTGTCCCTCCGTCCATGCCTCCCCTCCCTCTTCCTTCTCCATGACAGGTTCAGACGCATGTGTCGCAGTGATGTACGTCTCCTGTGCATGGCAGTGATGGTTTCTGTTAATGTTTTAGGAAGATCCCGGGGATTAATGTTTATGCCCAGATGCAGAATGAGAAAGAACGAGAGATGGTCAGTCGAGTCAGTCCCACTGAAAGCAGGCCCCATATCCCTCAGACTGACCTAAGGAGGCCTGGCCAGCTCATAGATGAGAAGGTGGAATCACAGCTCATAGGTAAATGATTCCCAGTAGCTGTCAGCTGTGCAGCCTGAGTATCAATGGCTGACTCTCTCTCTAACCCCTTTCTGGCTTGACATAACCACTGTTTTCTGCTCTAACACCCCTGAGAGAAACAGCTAAGATGCCTCTTTCCTTGCTTCCTTCCATTGGAATGAGAGAGAAAAAAAAAAAAAAAAAAAAAAAAACCTTCTTGCTCCTGTCTTGTTTTTTTTTTTTTTCTTTCATGAGTGTCTTCCTCTTTTTTGCAAAAACCTTTGGTAAAATGGTGGGCTTCAAAGTGTTCCTGGGCAAAGAGAAAGCATTAGCTCTGACAATATGCAAGAAGGACAGGCCTCAGAGGCCAGATCTGGTGATCTGGGGGGCCAGGCAGGGTTTGGGGGACAGGGTATGTAATGACCAGAACAAGATATGGAGGCCTCAGCTTGAGGTAGCTTTAAGGAGGGTACACTGCTCCCAAACACTTGTAGAGGAGTGACATAATGAGGCTAGTAGAGGAGTGACAGCCTGATCACCCTGGGATTTTTTTTTTTTTAATTTAGCAGTAATCTAAAAATGATTCCCCATAAAACAGAACCTGAGACTTTTTAGGACAAGAGGCATAAAGTATGTAGAGCATCCCAGGAGTGGGGTTGCCTGAGAGAAGCCACTGGGCAGTTAGACTATTACAGAACTGATTGGCAGAGTTTTCCCTTCTTGTTACCTGTCCCTTACCAGAAGTCTTAAAATGGACTTCTTCGTATTCCAGTAGAGCCCACTCTGTGCCTATGAAGTAAGCATGGGATCCAGCCGCGAGGACTAGAGAACCTCAAGTGTGATTGCTAAGTCCCACTGTTGACCGCAGAGAAAATTTCCCGGGGAAGTTAGACAGCCATGAAGCCACCATTGTGATCCATTTCTCTTGTTTCCTCCTGTCTGTTAGCATCAGGAGTTGAAGCGGTAAATGTTCCCATCTAGAGCCTGCATTGCTGACTACGATGGATAAATGACTAGATAACCAACCGTTCATGCTTTACTCTAATGCGATAATGCCCAGCCACCTAGAAGGCCCCTGATAGGATTGTTACTTGGGGGAGGGGGGGGAATATGAGTCCCTAAATGAAAACATAACCCTCTCTTTAAATGGATATGGGATAGTTCCGTGGCAGTATTAAGGGGACATTTAAACGCAATGGCTCGCTCATATCACAAGTAATAATAACCACAGCAGCCACATCTAGTCTCCAGCTTTCACTGTGCTTTCTTTTATTTGGGGAGACAGGCTGATACATGCGTAATTGCTTTGGGTTAAAAAGAAAAAAAAAGGGCTTTTCTGTCTTCGAGTCCAGAGAAGCATTCACCCTGTCTATTCGCTGCTGAAGCTTTTAAGTGCATTTTTGTGGGTCATTTGGTTTTCAATCCCATTGGCATGGGGTATGAAGCGTAGAGGCTGTTTACTTTATTAAAGGAGCAATCCCTCCTTCCCCAGGAAGCATCTTGCAGCACAGGGCAAAGTCCCTGACACCTTTTCATTGCCAATGTCGTTAAATGAGTAAGTGTTACACGTTTTCTCTTAGGAGAGTAGCTTTACCCACCCCTCCCTCCCCTTCTACTCAACCTGGTGACTCATCTCTCCGATTGCAAAGAGCAAGACAAGCCACTCCACCTTCAACGCCAAAGCGGGGATCTGCTGGGGCACAATTTGCAATTTAAGGAAAGCCCCAAAGGCTGCAGGAGACCTGCTGATCAGGAAAGAATTTCGCTCTTGTCAAGTGCATCATCCTTCATGACCACTAACTCTGTGTTTTCTTTTTTTCCTTTGTTGTTCTGTTTCCTATTTTGCCAGGAAGTATTTCCATAGTTGCTGAGAATCAAAGCACAAAAGAAATCCCTACCTATGTAAATGTTTGAATGGAGGACGCCAGTAAAAACAAAAACAAAAACAAAAATAAAATAAAAACAATCAAAATCCAAACAAACAAACAAACAAAACACTCACTGCATCGGGACTTTTTAATTCTTCTGACACAGACAACAAGGGTTTTTAGCTTTAAGCCTGTGCATGTGGACTACACGTTGAGAACACGCTGGGAGGGGCAGTGTACAGGTGCTCTATTTTAATGGAAAAAACACTCCCCTCCCCCTTTCTCCTCCTCTCTTTTCTGATCGGTCGTGTTTGTAGAGAATTCATAACATATATAGGCCAAGGAGACCTGCATGTATTTTTGGAAACATTCTTGGCTCTCGGTTTCACAGCTATTTTAGCACTATTGGCTGACGGGTGGATTAGCCACCCCAGCCCCTTTCACAAGACACAATGACATGCACAGGAGTTGGAAACCCTGAGCTGTTTCTCTGTTCCATTGTCTCATTTTCCCCTTCCAAGTTATCTGGTAGCTCTGTTGGCCAGTGGTGGCCACAAGGCTGCTCTCTGCATCCTGTGTGGCCACAGGGGACAAAGAAGCCAGTTGAAGTTCTGTATATGCAGGCAGCGTAGGGAAGGGAGGCAGGTGGGGGCAGTGGGTGGGGGGCAAGCATGTCAGACGTGGACCCGTGTTTCCTCTTCACCCCTTCCCATCGTGACCGCTTCCCCTTGAAGCTCTTGCCTACTCCTGCCCAATTTATGTAAAAAACAGAACCCTGGTTACCCACCGTCTCACCTTCCCATTTGTTTGCTCTCCATGTGTGGTCATGGCCTGGTGATATCTTTGTATCTCTTTCTTCCAATCCCCAAGTTACCCTTCAACTGTTCCTACCTTTTCTTCCCAAACATGTTGCTAGATTCTGGGCACTAACCCTGACCTTCCCTAAGGATCGGCCTAGTCTCCGCCTACCCTGCCTCCACCACCCACACATTTCTGATCTCCACCCCGAGCATGGCAGCCTTCGTACACGCTGACCAAGCTGTATCCTGCCCTGCAGGGCTCAGCTCCATGTACCCCCTGCCTCCTCCTGTAGAACCTGCCTCTTCCCAACAGCCTTGTCCTTTCCCACCTGGAAACATATCATGTGTGTGAATGAGCTGATATATATATATATATATATATATATATATATATATATATATATATATATGCAAAGCAATTCAAACCTGGCCAGGTACTGTGGAAAAGAAAGCATTCAGATGAATAGGGGCATCCTCGCACCTTAACAAAACTCGCGTGCAGTCTGATTCTAGAAGATTCTTGTGAGAAATGTTTTGGACATGTTACTATAGGGCAGGGTGATTCCCTCCTGTGATGGTTGCTGTGCCCAGTATTTCCCAGTAGAGTAAAACTATTTGTAAAATAAAACTGTTTAACCAGAAGAAGCAGGTTAATGGATTTAATGTTCAAGAGAATCAAAAAGTCTGAGAACATACGGAGTGTTGCCATGGATTAGAACGAGATTTTGATCGTGTCGGATGACCCCAGATCACATGTGTGCGCTCTGATTTCTGAGTGTCACAGTATCAGCAAAGGCAAAATGAATAAGCGTAAAGGGGAGAAGTTAGTTGACTAACTGAAGCGGATTGTCTCAAAGCAGGAAGACATTCCCCTTTTCCCAGGGCAACCATGAAAGAGGCCCAGAGAAAGAAGGAAATAAGTGTATGGCCAGCAGAAGCTCTTGGAGTATTATGAATTGGGCAAAGCCCACTCTAAAATATAGAAGAAAACAGTTTTGAAAAACCACTCAGAGAGCACAGGCTCCTTCTTGGTCATGTCCCCAAGCCAACATGAGGGTGTCACAGAGCCCTGGTGATGAAATAGGGTCCCAGTGTTCTAAAGATCCTGACCACCCCTGCCCTTAGGTAGCCCGGGCAGGGGAAGAGTAGCAAAGCTGACGTCAGAAGTTACTCAAGCAGAAGGTTTTTTGTTGTTGTTCATTTTTTATGGTTGAATATACCTAGTGTGAATCTGGGAAATGGGTTATGCCTGAGGCAGCCATACCTATTTGTCGAACTCAATTGAACCCTGGCCTGCCAGGATTCCTGTCTCACAGGAAATATCCTCATTGATTCTCTTCAGTTGGAGCCTCCCAAATTTAATCTGGAAGAGAAAGTGTTTGGTAACCAAAAGAGGCTCACTCCAAGCAGCACAGGGAGTCCTCTGCGCTGCGGCTCAATTAATTTTAATTGGAAAATGATGAAGAAGGGAATGACACTCTTAATCTAGCACAGTGCCTTGCCTAGAGTAGGTCTGAAGAAAATTACTTGTTGAAGGAATAAATGAATGGCTACGTGGGAAGACTTAGGGATGAACGGGCTGGTGAGCCCTAACGAAAAATAGAGGTGGACATGAGGTGCCTGGCATTTTGGAAAGGGACCAGAGATGGCCAGCTCTAGATTCAGCATCTCAAGGGTCCTCATGTGCCTCTCCTCCAAGCTCCCTTCCACCTGTAGGAGATGAGTGAGGCGAGGTACTACTCAGAGGGGACCTCACTGTTTTTATGATCTAGCTCCGTGGTCCTCGAAATGTGGTACCCGGACCAGCAGTATCAGCATCACCTCAGATTTGTTAGAAATGCCAGTTTTGGGCCCTTACCCTAGACCTACTGAAATCAGAAACACCAGGGGTGGGGCCCAGCAATCTGTTTTTACAAGCCCCTCAGGTGGTTGTGATGTACACGGTAGTTTGGGAACTGCTGCACTGGACCATTCCAGCTCAGTCCCAAAGAGAAGGCAGGGATGAGAGCCTACAGAGGGAGGGACCCAAGTGCCTACCTACTCGCTAACAGCAGGTGCAAACACAATGCAGAGTTTGGTGGGCTTGAGGCCAGAGGAGTGGGTGGGGAGGGATGGTTGTAGAAGGTAAGATTCAGAGCAAGCTAAAAATCTAATATTGCAACGTTTTCCAAAATCCCAGAAGGCAAATTGTGCATGCTCTCCCCTGAACTACCCAACCAACATTTCCTCCTTTGCCTTATTCCTAATTGGACTCCCCACCCAAAATGCAGAGGTTTGCTTTGCTTTTTTATCAGAAGTTCCAAACAGCAACTTTGAGAGCAATGGGGTACTTGGCAGCTGTTCTGTGTTTTCCAGGATTCCAACTGAAATCCCTCATTTGCCTACTTATTTTTATAGGAAGCCAATTAAAAAAAAGTTTTCTTATAGTATTGGAACTACTTCTAATTTTAAAATGACTTTTTGATGTATTTTTTTGTTAAATACGATGTAGTGTAATGTATAATTGCTATTGTTTATTGCTTTTACAATCATATTTATTAAACAGATAATGTCTCTAAAGTCTTGGCTTCGTGGTGTTTATTTTATCACAAACCTTGGCGTTCAGTCCTGATATAGAAGTGATATCTAAAGAATGTCATAAAGGCTAATTGTATGCGAATAAAGACCCCAGGCTGGAAGCATGTTTGTGTTTGTTTGTTTTCGTTTTTGTGTGTTACCAAAGTAGAATATATTCTACTACCTGAATTCTGCCTGCATTACAGTATAATGTCCGTCCTTCATTCTATTTAAAAATCACTCCAAACTGGTTACTTTGCAATAAGTAACATGCTCATTATTATTAGTTCAAAATTAGAAATGATTAATATGGAACAAACACATTTAAATTTGTTCATAACCTTGTAGTTACTGAAGGACCAAACCTGCATGAAATGAACTGAAACTTGGGGAGTGGTAAAGGCACGGATGACAGTATAGAATTGACTTTGAACTTGGAATTAACAGAGTGGAGTTCACCTTGTGGCTATGCCAGCCATATGACCTTGAGCAAAGCAGTTTAACATACAGAAGTTTTAGTGTCCTGATGCCTCTAATTTGAAGGAAGAAGACACCTCGTAGCTTTGGTATTCTGAGTGGGTGAGCCAGAGTCCCAAACACCTGATTTAAACTTGGTGGAAAATAGAGAGGTGGACTGGATCCAAATCTTTTCAGCCTTGTGGCTTTCCTACATAAGAGACATCTCTTTGTGGGTGACATTTTGCCCTTATATTTGGCTGGGGCGTTTGTGCAGGCGCAGAACCCTCCTTAGCCTTCCCAAAGACCCACGAGGCTCAGCATGCATGAGGATTCCTGTGTAACCTGGCCTTTCCCACAGACTCAATCTGCCTTCCACCCTTCATTCCTTTCCAGGCCAGAGCCTGAGCTGCTCTGTTTCATCAGGAACAGTTTCTCTCCTGTGTCACTGAGGGTACAGGCAGTCAAACAGAAACCATTGCTAGAGATTTCACACACAGGGGATTTAATACAGGGGATTTCTTGCTTGAGTAACTGAAAAGCCACGATGCCAAACAGGGGAAGGTGAGGCAACCCCAAGTTTAGCACCAACAGGAAGCCTCTACCTTCCCTGGGCCGGAAGTCCACAAGGATTCCCAGAGCCCAGGACCCAAGACCACCCTATGAAGCTGACGTCACAGAGGACATGCCTGGCACTTGTTGGAGCCACAGAGGAGACACAGACGGCAACAACCATAGTCAGCGATGCTGCCTAAGGTGAGGAGACAAAGGGGGAGCTTATTTTTCCCTTGCTCTGGCCCTCCCATCTCCAGCCATGCATCCCACTGACCAAGCCCAACCACAAGCTAGGGCCAGTGGACCTTGGGAAATGTAGTTTCCCGAAATACCAAGCAAAGCGGGGAGGAGTGGGGAGTGAGTGGACTTACGAGAGCACGTGCAGGTGACTGACACAGCACCTCTTTCAAGTTCAACCCACAGCAAAGCCAACAAACCTCCCCCAGCCCAAAGGCACTTATTAAATAGTAGGTGCTCCCTTCGCTTTGACATTCTTTCACATATTCCCCTTTAAACAACACATATTTAAGATGTGGCATTATGGTTACGTGTGTCACTTTATGCCTTTCTCGCCAGATTCTGTGCTCATTTAGGGGAGGATCTTTCTTTTTATTTTTCATTGCACTCATTCAGCCTCTAGCACTAGACATGGCCATTAGGGGGCACTAGATAAATGTTTGCTGAAACAACCCTGGATTTTTAGGTTCCGGTGTTGTGAGCAAGTCCATTTTATTTAGCAGTGGTCTCTGAGGTGTCCTCTTGGGTCGGGCTCACCTTACCCAGCCAGCATTTCGTATTGCATGTCCGATTGGTGTTTGTCAAGAACCCACACATCCTTGCCTTTTCTCTCTGGTACCACTCAAGCTGCTGAATTTGGGAAGCCATTCTTAGATATGCATTTAAGTGAAATAATTGCAGTTTAGGGGGAGAAAAACTGGCTAGAAAGTAGCATGAAAAACAAAGGACTTAGTCTGGTTTCCATATCATTACCTAACTTGTTTACCTATTTCTTGGAAGTTAATAGTATTTTGAAAATGCATGTTAGGCTGATGTTGTCATAGTGTGGGAATCCCCAAGTAATTCCAGATGAACACATACAAGGAAAAAGCTGTTATGGGTTTCATTTTGAGCACATGAAAAGGGATCTTTGGTATACAGAATACAAATATTTATTAATCCAAATATGGTATAGATTTCTTTGGGTGGTAAAAATACAACTATGAACAAGGCAGATAAGATCTCTGCCTTCATGAGCATGTATTCTGATGGAAACAATGAACAAATAATGAAATTTAATGTAACATATACAATGCTATCATGCATACATTTAAGATATTGATGGGTAACAATAAAATAAAACATAGCAGGGAGCAGAGTGACCAGGGATGGGGATGGCAGTGGGGCAGTTGGTCACCGGCTTCTCTGAGACCTGAAAGCTGAAAAGAAACCAGCCATTTGGAGACACATTATTACAATTTATTCAAAGTCAATCTTAGAACAACCTCAACCAGAAAACCAACAATGTTGGACCTCCACAACAATTAGAAATGCTTCTGAGTTTAAGGAAAAATAACTTTCGCAATGTTCATGCACACGAATTTCCCCAGGGAATCATATGTACAGCCAGTTCTACTCTTTGACATATGCATTCCTAAAAATCACCTCACTATGCAAAATAGTGCAGTAAAAGCCACAAGGCTTAGGAAAAAAAAAAATGGGACTAGGACACCATGCACAAAAACGTTCTCTGGTGATAGCATAATGTGTAATGTGTCAGTGACACGTTAAAAATACAAACCTGTCTTAGTCCACTGTCAGAACACAGACCAGAGACTGGGTTATTTCTCACAGCTTTGGAGGCTTTGAAGTCCAAGATCAAGGTGCTGGCAGATTTGGTGGGTCTGTTTTCTGGTTTTTAGATGGTGCCTTGTTGCTGGGTCTTCACATGGTAGAAAGGACAAGAGACCTCCCTGGGTTTGTTTTTGTTTTTTAAATAAAGTTTTTATAAAGGCACTAATCTCATTGATAGGACTCCATCCTCATCACCTAATCGCCTCTCAAAGGCCCCACCTACTGTTCCCGTCACCTTAGGCCTTAGGTTTTCAACATGAATTTTGTGGGGGACACAAACATTCAGACCATAGCAAACCTAATAAAAATGGTAGCACAGTTTTACTCATGTTAAATGATTGAGAAATACAAAAATAAAACACTTACCTTGAAAAATACCTGAGGCACTCTTGTGAAAGTGGGCATTGGAGTGCTTACAGCTTGTGGTTATTGTTAAGTGGTGGGAGAAGAGTTATCTGAAATCCGACAGAAAGTTGTACCACCAAATGGATGGTGTGGCTGGTAACACATGAGGCGATGGAGGTAGCTAGTAGGTGTTTGAGGTGTGCGTGCGCACGTGTGTATGTGTGTGTGTGTGTGTGTGTGTGTGTGTGTGTGTGTGCTGTGTATTTTTACACAGCTAAATTCAACCGGGTGTAGTTTCCTGTGCTCCCTTAGCGCTTCTCATTGGCAAAATCATACAAAACAAACTTTACATCATCCTCAAATTCTTCCCTAATATGTCAATTGCATTAGAACACATTTACATCTTTCAAAAAGTTCTGTAGCAGAACTGACAATAATTCAGATGTTGGTTTAAAAGTAATTTGGATATCCTGGTAGGGGGAGAAATCTGCCTTGACAGCAGAGGGAAAGCATACGTAAATAGTGCCAACCCTGACTGGCAGCAGCAGTGGCAATAGCCTGAGGACTTTGGTTTGGATTTTTGTTTTGTTTTGTTTTGTTTTTTTGTGTGTTTTTAAGCTGAGCCATCCTGCCACCTGTTGGCAGCTCAGCGGCTGCTCAGCTCAGGCCAGGAATCAAACCGCTGTTGCTCAGAGCTCACACTCTTGAGCGAGCTCTTAACCAACTGAGCCACTCGGCCGGCCCCAGCCTGAAGACTTTGGTGTGAGACGAGCAGGCCGCCCACATACACAAACCTTAGAGCATCACTCAGTTTCCACCAATCCCAACAACTAATACTGAGAAATGTGATTTTGGCCCAAAGATTATTGAATTGTGGTCAAAACTCCCTGTTAAAGAAAATAGTATGAAACATACATTTATAAAGTATTTTATGAATAGCAAAACAGGTAAAGCTTAGAAATATTTAAAAATAAGCTTAACTTATCTAGTTAATAAAAACACTTGAACAATATGAAGTGGGATATTTCAATATATGTGTGTATAGATATCATCATAAACTCTTCCTGCCAATGTAAGCATTAATAACAGCTTGCAGATGAGAAAAAGGTTTAGTAAACAATATTTATAAACCAGTTAACAATAAACCATAATGTAGATCCACATAATAAAATAGAATGCTTTCATTAAAACTATTTTTCTAAAGAATATTTAATGGCATGAAAATAGTCTCATGTGATATTAAGAGAAAGCAGAATTGAAGATTTTAGATACTGTGATAACAAATTATATAGAAAATATATAAGGACAAAGTGAAAGATTGAAATATAGTAACACTGGTTATTTCTAACTTATAAAAATTCCAGGTTTCAAAAATTCTCTTCCTCGTCTTTTTGTATATTTTCTAAAATTTTCTAAAATGAACACATATTACTTGTATGGTCAGGAAAAAAATTGCCATTTTAAATGAAAATTATAAGAAATATATTGTGAAGTAAATCTAAAGTAATATATTTGCTTATGGTATTAATGAAAATCATTATGAATAATAATATATTTAATATAATATGTAGAGTTTATAGAAAAGTTCAAAATTATTGATAGTGTATACTTATCCTTCCACAAATTAAAAATAGCTTCTCTAGATAAAAAATACAATTTTTAATCTCATTTTTATCAATTTAAATTCATGCTGAGATGAAAACATTTTGCTGTTATGGTGCCTGCAATTTAATTCATGAAGTTTCAAGTGTTTAAAATGTTTACATTGTGTATAATAACTTTGCTAACTGTGTGTG